GATCGGTCATATAATGAAGGTACGCATTTTTAATCGACTTTCTGTATTTATCTTCATTAGTATGAAAAACATTTTATCGCATCTATGGAGTCTCATTCATATTATATACCGGTCGACACATTATTATGTTCGTGCAAGGCCACATTAACGAAGGCCAAAACCACCTATTGCAACGCGTTAACTAACTGTTTTCTCACTAGGGGGCTCGTGTCACAGGCCACCAGGCTGTAGTACTTTATTGAATAATACTTAGGAAGGTTCGACCTATCAGAAGGCTCCAGAATGTTTGAGAATTATCCGAAAGTGTATATAATGTTGAAGAATGTCGTAGAATGTTCCAGAAGTATATATAATTTTCAGGAGGTTCAAGAATGTTCTAGAATACTGAAGAATCATTCAAAAGGTTCTTGATTGTTGTAGAATTTTCCGGAGTATTATAGAATACTCAAGAATGTTCCAGAATGTTGAACCAGGAGACTTTAGAATGTTGTTAAATGTTCCATATAATAATAATGCATTTATTCATTTACAGAAATACAATGGATATGCCTAAATGATAGAAAATGTAGTAAATAAATAAATAACAATACTCAATAAGTGATGAATCACTTGTTTCGAGAAGTTGATTCATATAGTTAAATATAATATATTCAAAACAATTTAAAATATCTAAATAATAATCTTAACTTAAATTTAAAATGTGTGTCTCAAACACAAACACAAGCGATTTACAAGCTCATAATGCGAAAAAGCAAACATACGTGTATATATACATATAATTTGGAATGAATAGAAAATTATAATAATTATAAGGAACTCACTTGAAATAATCATTTATGATATTTCGATCTTTCTCATTGATAAATGATTTCAAAGCTTTCTTGAACGAATGTTTATCCACTATATCTCTCATTTCTATAGGGAGAGTGTTGAACATTTTTGGGGCCATGTAGCTGTATGAGCGCTGACCTATGGATTTATTCATTTTCGGGATGATATGTTGGTGTTTGCGTCGTGTATTGTGCTCATGATTCGGTAAGACGAAGAGGTGGTTTTTACTGTGATAGTAAATGTTCAGGTTTAGGAAGAATAGTTGACGAATATCTAGCACAGAAACTTCAGTATATAACTTATCTGAAGGATATCGGTTTGTTTTCCGGAGAATTAATTTCAGGAATCTTTTTTGGATGACTTCAATAGGCCGTAGGTGAGTTCTCAATGCCCCACCCCAAGCTGCAATAGCATATCTTAAATGACTCTCGACAAGTGCATGATACAAAGTCTTCATTTTGTGGTAAGGTAGTATCGTTTCGAGGTATTTAAATCGATATAATATCGTTCTCAGTTTTTTGCAAACATATTGAATATGAATATCCCATTTTAAGTGTTTATCAATATAAACACCCAAATATTTGACATGTTCAACTGACTTGATAATTTTACTATTCCTTTCATTATCCATTATGAGATGTTCGAAGGGGGGTTTATTGGATTTATTGCAGTAGAATGGAACGAAACATGTTTTTTCAAGGTTGACGGTGAGCAGTTTATGTTCAAACCAATTTTGCACTAATAAGAAGTCAGTTTCAACTAGAACTTTCAACTCTTCCCAAGAGTTGGCTCTATAGAAGATAGCAGTGTCATCTGCAAACCCAATAATATCTCCTCCACTTCTCAAGAAAAACAATCCATCCACATAAATATTGAATAGAGTGGGTCCCAAAATAGTACCTTGTGGAACCCCACATTCGATTACTTGTCGATCACTCAGAACATCGCACACTCTTACACTCTGGAATCTATCGGAAAGGTAACTTTGGAATAGCTTCAGAGCATTATTTCTGATGCCGTTATCTTCCAGTGTTTGCAAAAGTAATCGGTGACTGACTGTATCGAAAGCTTTTGATAGATCAATAAATAAGCAAAGACAGAACTTTTTTTCATCAAGTGCAATGGATATCTTTTCGGTTAATGCCATTATTGCATCTTGCGTTGATATTTTGTTCCTGAAACCAAATTGGTTATCAGACAGCAATCTGTATTTTGTTATATATGAATGGAGTCTTTTCTTGATGATTTTTTCAAATATCTTACTGATATGTGTGATTAAAGATATAGGTCGGTAGTTTGTAGGAATTTTCTTATCACCTCTTTTGAATATGGGAATTACAACGCTTTCTTTCAGTACCATTGGCCACGTACCAGTATTGATGCAGAGATTCAGTAGATAAGTTAAGGGTTCCCTTATGTGCATTACAATTTCTTTCAGGGTTTCTGCTCTGATATCATCTATACCAGTAGATTTTTTCATCTTGAGCTCATTTATAACTTCATGTATTTCAAAGGCATCCGTAGGAGACAAGACGAATGAATTCACAATAGATTTTCTCTCGGGATGATAATTTGGGTTTTGTGTAATTTCACTAGCTAATTTTTTCCCAATTTCAATGAATGTCGAGTTGAATTTGTTCGCTATATCTTTCATATCAGTTAAAAGATTGCCTGTATCGTCTCCTATTGAAGTTATTGCAGATTTAGATTTTTTGTTATTGCTTATTTCGTTTACTATATTTACTATGGTAGTAGAATGTTCCAGATGGTTCGAGAATGTTCTATAAGGTGTCGAAATCAGCCACTCACCTGCTCCCAATCCTCTTCAGACTATTGGTATCGAGCAGACAATCTCTACCAGGCGACACATTATTATGTTCGTGCAAGGCCACGTTGACGAAGGCGGGTTCAAAGGCCAAAACCACCCACTGCAGCGCGTTAACTAACTCTTTTCTCACTAGGGGACTAGTGTCTCCAGCCACCGTGTTGGCCAAGGTCATTACCACGCTGTAGTACTTTATTGAATAATACTTAAGAAGGTTCAACCTCTCAGAAGGCTCGAGAAAGTTTCAGAGTGTTTGAGAAACATCCAAGAGTGTCTATAATGTTGAAGAATGTTATGGAATGTTCCAGAAGTAAGGAGAATTTTTCAGGAGGTTCAAGAATATTCTAGAATACTGAAGAATCATTCAGAAGGTTCTTGATTGTTGTAGAATCTTCCGGAGTATTCTAGAATACTCAAGAATGTTCCAAAATGTTGAAGAATCATCCAGGAGGCTTTAGAATGTTGTAAAATGTTCCGTAATGTTGTAGAATTTTATAGAATCGTCCAAAATGTTCGAGGATGTTCTATAAGGTCTCAAAATGAGTCACTCACCTGCTCCCAATCCTCTTTAAACTATTGGTATCGAGCAGACAATCTCTACCGGGCGACACATTATTATGTTCGTGCAAGGCCACGTTGACAAAGGCAGGTGCAAATGAAAAAAACCACCCACTGTAGCGCGTTAACTAACTCTTTTCACACTAGGGGACTCGTGTCGCCGGCCACCATATTGGCCAAGGTCATTAGCACGCTGTAGTACTTTATTGAATAATACTTAGGAAGGTTCTACCTATCAGAAGGCTCGAGAAAGTTCCAGAATGTTTGAAAATCATCCAAGAGTGTCTATAATGTTGAAGGATGTTGTATAATGTTCCAGAAGTATAGAGAATTTTTCAGGAGGTTCAAGTATGTTCTAGAATACTGAAGAATCATTCAGAAGGTTCTTGATTGTTGTAGAATCTTCCGGAGTATTATAGAATACTCAAGAATGTTCCATAATCATCCAGGAGGCTTTAAAATGTTTTAAAATGTTCCATAATGATGTAGAATGTTCCAGAAGTATATAGAGTTTCTCAGGGAGTTCAAGAATGTTCTAGAATACTGAATAATCATTCAGAAGGTTATTGTCTGTTGTAGAATCTTCCGGAGTATTATAGAATACTCAAGAATGTTCTAGAATCATCCAGAAGGCTTCAAAATGTTTTAAAATGTTCCATAATGATGTAAAATGTTCCAGAAGTATATAGTTTCTCAGGCGGTTCAAGAATGTTCTAGAATACTGAAGAATCATTCAGAAGGTTTTTGATTGTTGTAGAATCTTCCGGAGTATTATAGAACACTCAAGAATGTTCCAGAAACATCCAGAAGGCTTTAAAATATTTTAAAATGTTCTATAATGATGTAGAGTGCTCTAGAAGTATATAGTTTCTCAGGCGGTTCAAGAATGTTCTAGAATACTGAAGAATCATTCAGAAGGTTTTTGATTGTTGTAGAATCTTCCGGAGTATTATAGAACACTCAAGAATGTTCCAGAAACATCCAGAAGGCTTTAAAATATTTTAAAATGTTCTATAATGATGTAGAGTGCTCTAGAAGTATATAGTTTCTCAGGCGGTTCAAGAATGTTCTAGAATACTGAAGAATCATTCCGAAGGTTCTTGTCTGTTGTAGAATCTTCTGGAGTATTATAGAATACTCAAGAATGTTCCAGAATCATCCAGGATATAGAATGTTGTAAAATGTTCCATATGGTTGTAGAATGTTCCAGAATGCTATAGAATCGTCCAGAAGGTTCGGAAATAAGGTATCAAAATGAGTCACTCACCTGCTCCCAATCCTCTTCAGACTATTGGTATCCAGCAGACAATCTCTACCGGGCGACACATTATTATGTTCGTGCAAGGCCACGTTGACGAAGGCAGGTTCAAAGGCCAAAACCACCCACTGCAGCGAGTTAACTAACTCTTTTCTCACTAGGGGACTCGTGTCGCCGGCCACCGTGTTGACCAAGGTCATTACCACGCTGTAGTACTTTATTGAATAATACTTAAAAAGGTTCAACCTCTCAGAAGGCTCGAGAAAGTTTCAGAGTGTTTGAGAATTATCCAAGAGTGTCTATAATGTTGAAGAATGTTCTAGAGTACTGATAATCATTCAGAAGGTTCTTGATTGTTGTAGAATCTTCCGGAGTATTAAATAATACTCAAGAATGTTCCAGAATGTTGAAGAATCATCCAGGAGGCTTTAGAATGTTGTAAGATGTTCCATATGATTGTAGAGTGTTCCAGAATGCTATAGAATCGTTCAGAATGTTCGAAAATGTTTCTCAAAATGAGTCACTCACCTGCTCCCAATCCTCTTCAGACTACTGGTATCGAGAAGACAATCTCTACCGGGCGACACATTATTATGTTCGTGCAAGGCCACATTGACGAAGGCGGGTTCAAAGGCCAAAACCACCCACTGCAGCGAGTTAACTAACTCTTTTCGCACTAGGGGACTCGTGTCGCCGGCCACCGTGTTGACCAAGGTCATCGCTACGCTGTGGTCCACGTTGTTGGCGTGCTCGGACCGCTTGATCACCGAATTGATGAAGGTGCCCAGGGCGTATACGGCGGCCGCTCTCACCTGGAAAGAGGAATATCGAAGACTGGAAATGCAACAAGTCACACTAGCGACTAGTAGTGGTCCCAAAGCCTGCCCAAACAGACGGCGACCTACTCCGAATCAGCACCAGACATCTTAAAGACGTACATTTTACGACTTACTTACGTCTTTACGTCCAGGGACGTATAAAGTACGTCTTTAAGATGTAAATCCACGAATTTACGTCTTTAAGACGTACATTTTAGGTCGTATCCACGTCGTTCCTCCCATGTCGTATAAAAGACGTCTTAAAGACGTACATTCCAGTACGTCAATTCGACTTATAGAACAATAATGTAAGTTATTTTCTGAAGAAAAACAAAATGTCATCTCTTCACGTTTTTTATTTTCAATTGTTCAGTTTTTTCTTATTTTCAACAAAAGTGTGATGTTTTTTAATTTTTTCGTCCGACATTTTGGAGCCTTCGTGTTAGATTCTCGAATTTTTACAAACAAATCATATTCTCCGACCCCAAAAGTCCCATAGTGATCAATTTTGAATAAAATCGGACTATATAATAACAAAACTCGTCCGCCATTTTGAAGCCGACATCTTGGATTTTTCATTTTCGACAAAAGGAATTATTATCTCTGATCCCGAAATCCTCCAGATGCCAATTTTGAAACAATTCAGACCATAATCAGAAAACCATATGCCACATCGTCCGCCATATTGGATCCGCCATTCTGTTTTTTCCATTCAATAATAATATCACAACGAATTGTCACCGGAATAATATTTACTTGCCAAATTTCAAATAAATCGGACGATTTAAAGTGAGTCAAATTTAACTCGCACGTTTTGATTACAAACAGACACAAGGACATGTTAAACTAAGTAAAAGCTTGTTATGTCATATATAGAACAAACAGAGTAACAGAAGAAGTGAATATGGTATAATCATCGAAGTCAAGCAACAAAGAGCGCGGTTAGTACTTGAATGGGTGACCGCTCGTGTCTACCGTTTGATAAAGTCGTTTATTTTCCTTTTTTTTTGCTCGTCTGCACTTGTTGCTAACTTCAGTGCACAGGTGAAAATCAACTAAAACTATGTGATTTTTCACTAATTTGAAAGATCAATTTGAGGTCATTGACCAAAAACACCTAAAAAAGACGTCTTAAAGACGTACATATTAGTGGAAAATGTACGTTTTAAAGACGTCTTAAAGACGTCTCTTGGGCGTAATATGTACGTCTTCAAGACGTACTTATGTCCCGACATGTACGTCTTAAAGACGCCTTTAAGACGTACTTTGGCTGATTGGGCTGCCTGAGCTAGGCGCAAAGGTCGCCCACTTTGAAATGACAAGAAAATTTGAAATTATTTGCCGATGATACAACTCTCATTTATTGCGGAAAAAATATACAAGAAATAAAAAACCAAATGGAACAAGATCTCGCTTCAATAACAGTACGGTTACAAGATCATAAATTGACACTCAATTTCAATAAATCTTCTTTTATGTTCATCTCGAAAAGAGTTATACCTGATAACCAAATAGATCCTTTAAATATCGGGAATTTTTTAAAAATCATAAAAAAAACTTCAAACTCTTAGACTCTATCTTGGTCATCGCATATTCAATTGCTCAGAAAAAAATATCTCCCATTGTTGGAATATTATACAAATTGAGGTGTTTTATACCTCTCAAATACTTGAAATTGATTTATTTCAGTTTAATTTACTCTAAATTGCAGTATCTGATATCGATCTGGGGTACTGCAGCAAAATCTGTTTTGAAACCTCTCAAATCTCTTCAGAATAAAGCCATAAAATGTATTTATAAACTACAATTTCTAGATTCAAAATCTAGACTATATAAACCAAGGAAACTACTAGATATTGACTCTCTCTTATAAATGAAAGTATACATTTTCATTCATTTTACTAAAAATAAGCGAAAGCACCCGAATCTTACTTTTAATATCAATTCTGATACCCATTTGACACTGTCAAAATAAAAAACCCAATTCGGGAAAAAATCATTGTATTTTTGTGGAATAAATATTTATGATAGTCTACCCAACAGAAATAAATCTATTAGGCTCGTCACAAAATTCAAGTGTGAACTGAAGAAATATATTTTATCAATTTAATTCTCTCCTTGTATCAATTAATTCTGATTGAACTGTTTATCTTTCTCCAGGCACACGCAAATGTACAAGTTTCTGTTATTATCCCCACCATTCGCGATTTCATTCATTTATTCGTGTCTGGCGCAGAAGATCATTGATATATTACACTTTTTCGTGATTTATGAACGAATTGATGTATCTATCTTTCATTATTCAGTTTGAAATCGACACTAACCTCACGCTGCCGAAAATGTTCATGTCAACACAAGTTTACTTTAGTATATCGCCAAGGATATTTTTGGGCGAATAGAGAAACATAATGAAAATAAGAGACTTGAAGTTTCATTATTTCCATAAAAACGATTCAATCGAAAAAATCTGAATATTCGATCTTTTGAAACAAAAACATGATTTATGAGAAAGGATGTTGAGAAGGAATCACACTTGAATCCAAAGCATGATGAATCAATTCACTCTTAACATCTTATGCTTCATTATCATATCCATACAAATACAGTAATATCAAGCATCGAACATATTGGTCCTTCGAGCCGGATCTATTCAAATGAATCCTTCAAGACTGCCGAGTTCTTCACAAAGTATACAGAGCAGCACCCAAGATTACCTAGAGTAACAGTGAATGCCAAGCATCATGAGCTTTCACAGGAAGCAACAAGCATTTTAAGCGAACAGCACTCAACACAAGTGTTCTTTTGTATGTTGCCGAGGATATTTTTTGGCGAATAGAGATAAATACTGACAATAAGTGATTTCAAAGTTCATAGTTTCCATGAAAATTTTGTATTTCTGTCAAATGAATCGTGATTTTTCTGCGACTTTGCCACTAACCTCCGGACAATCATCCTTGAGCAGGGTGTACAGCTTCTCGTGAGCGATATCTCTCACACCAGTCCACCTTGCCTTCTCGTAGTGGTCCCACAGCCTGCCCAGACAGACGGCCACCCACTGCCTGAGCTGGGCGCAAGGGTCGCCCACCTGTTCCAGACACACGCTGACCAGGGAGCCCTGAAGGGCAGCCTCCTGGCCCTCACGGAAATCGTTGACGATGCAGGCGAGAACGAAGGTCGCTTGCGTGCGGTGCTCGGCCTAGGTTCAATCAGTCAATCAATCAACTATACAGGGTGTATCTAAATAACACCGAGAAAATTCAAGGGGTGATTCCTTGTATTCTAGCAAATGAAGTTTGAGCGTAAAAACGTTGCATACGACCTTCATCAAATTCTGTTACAACATAAGTCGCGTGCACGATGACCGACCCTGGAGGTAAAATATTGAAACACAACCTCACTCTTCTGTGAATTATTGAAACACAACCTCACTTTTTTCATTTGTTTACACAGGAATCAAAGGATTGAAATAGTTTTTTCACAATATTTTGGCAACCGAATCGTGTTTTTTGCGCTATTCATTAATGGGCCTGTTTCAGTGAAAAATTTTATTTCATTATTTCGAAGTACTAACCCTAACTAGTTCACTGTCGCAAACCGTTTTTTCTCCAGAGCTCTGTACATTTTTTAAATAATTATTGAAATACACGATATTTCGTAACATGAAAAACGCGGGAAAGCGCGTGACGTAGGCAGCCGGTGAACAATTCATATAAGATTCGACATACATATCCATTCTCTCTCTCTTAGACAAGTGCAAAAATATTTCTGATTGTCATTTATCAAAATATGTGAGATGAATATTTTGGTAATGATACTAAAAGTGGAGAAGAAGACTGCGTATAACCTAACCTATGGTAGTCGTATATTTTATACCGATTTGTCAAAATAGTAGTGAGAATTCGCCTGAAAAACTGTTTTCGACCGTCCCGGCTAGTACCCAACGCAGGAAAAACTGGCAGTGCATCTGGAATTTATTTCAGGACATGACCTCTACTGCTGTGAGGATCATTTCAATGTGGGTTCCCATTGTGAAATGTGATATCCTTGTCACTTTCCGATATTCCAGCTTGTTTCCAAAATCATTGGAACAACACTCAAGCTGAAACCTCATGCCACCTCATGCAGTGCCACACAAGTTCTTGAATGTACCGCCACCCACATATGACATACAAAAGAAGTGTACTGACTGATAAGGGAAACAAAAAGAAAGCAGAGTTGCTGGAAAATGTTTGGAAGAAACGAAAAATACAGCTATCAGATTATGCAGAACTAAGTGCAGAACCCTCATCATCCAAAAATAGCAAATACATCTATATCGGTTCCTGACATCATTGAGGTTGAGGAAGAAATAGTTATTCAGACTAATATAAAAGGGCCATTCAGAAGTAGAGGTGTAAATATGGAAAATAAAACTTTTCATGATGTACCCAACCAATTAATCATATCAAGTTGAGGGAGAAGAGTGTGATCAATCCTTGTTGTATGAAACCTTCATTTTCAAGTTCATATACAATATCTGAATCTCTTTCATCTCCTACAAGGAAATATGAGCTAAACAGTTCTACTGATCTTGATGAGATTGTTGAGGAGATTAGAGACAGACATATGTCCATGGGTATAAGTGTTCTAGTGCTTATGAATAGTTGTGACAGTGATAAAGTGAAATCAAATGTTCTATAAAAAAATATGTACCTATTTATAATATATCATTCTACCATTGTTCATTTTTGTTTCAATCAGATCACTGAATACCTATAATGTTCTATGAAGATTTTTTCATGACCATGACCTATGTAGATCTCTTGTAATATACATTACCTACTGTGGAATAATACTGTATTTTTCATTAATTAAATATTACAATTTTGATATAAGTACTTACTATATTTGTTTTTCATTTATAATCAATAAAAATAAATCACAACAAACTATAATTTGTAAAAGTATAATATGGAATCTATTGTAGATTTTCACCTCATTTTCACCAATCATCTCTACCATGTCTTCATCTCCCAGACACTTTCTTCATTACACTAAAATGAATATAAAATGTTACATATCAATATACCTAGTTTACTAATAAAGCAAGGCTTCATGATTAAAGTGAAGTAGGTAATTAGATGTTTTCTTGGGAACATACCAGGTCTCTTGGCTCAGATGCTTTATTACTGGATTTCTGATTTAAACCTTTTCGCTGCTCTCAGTTTTTGATCCACATCAGTCTTGTGTTTTGAATGGGCTAGAGATTGATGATCCATATTATACTGCCCAAGCTGGATGATTTTCATCTTTCAGGCACTAGGTTCTCCTACAAGGTAAATAAATTATGTGTGTATTGAAAACATGATGTTTCCAAACCATGTAGGGCCATCAAAGGTATTGAGTATTGGCTTCTTTCATCAAAAAGAAAAATGATATATGTTTTCAATAGCATGAAATACTAAATTCATCAGTTCTAGAGTAGGTGGGTACATATGAATAATATTAAAATCCTTTTTCTCAAGTACCTGTTATGAAAATAGTGTCTGCTACATATCCTCTGGTTTATTATGAATGTTTTTGTTGATGATTCTTTCTCTTGATGGCTGCTATCCACATTTCCCTTATTTTTCTTGATAGATCCTTCATCTGTGGGTAATGCGAAGAGTTTTTCACAGTATCACAGTAGGAAAGGAAATAAACATCAAATGGTCCCACCACAATACATGTTACTGGCATTTTCTTTTCAAAATCACAGTCAGTTTTCATTATTCATAATTAATCTAAACAAAACTTAATCTGACTCAATGAAATAATACTCTGAAAGGTTTCCAAAACCCACAAAGTCCTCAAGTAAACAAACGTGTCTTTGATTTGTTTTTGTTTACCAACCAGACGGCCTACGTTAGGTTAGGTTAGAATAATTCTTCTTCTCTATTGATATTTCGACGATTGCGCTGTTGCCAGACTCACAAAAAAGTTTGGGTTTGAATAAAATTATGATCATTATAACGAATATTAGGATATTATTACTGGCACTGAATCATCATCTTGCAAGGTATGTAAGTATTCATTAAGTGATTATCAGGAACCAGGTGGCCACATTGTCTATTGCGAACGTAAATACTCTGTCATTGGTGATATTGAATCTCATATAGGTAATTACTGGCTATAAATTTGGCAACGATAACTATTCTCCGTGCCAGCAGGTTGATGACGTCACGAAACCTGGCGTTTTTCGAAGGTTCTGATTTTCAATTAATGAAAAAACGTATTTTGGATGATTTTAAATAACAACTGATAGCATCAAATACTATTCACACACGGACTGATCAATATAAAATAGGTATGTGGCGTGAATTCGATTAGAGTGTACAACCCCATTCAAGCATCCCTTCACATTGTGCTGTTGTACAATGCACAAAAAATGCAGCGAGAGACGAAGGAATATGATTTTTCAGGTAAATAGTAATCTAACATAGTTCTCATTATGAAATGTTGTCATTCCTTATGAAAATTCCTTCTGCCATTTCTGCAATACAAGCTAATACTGCTAATAGATTGAAAATGTCTACAACACACACGATCATATTTCGTCAGCATGTCAGACCAGTCCTCCCGTTTGAATCTAATCTTCTTGAATTATTTTAGTAATTTCACGAGTATTTCTATTAGTTCCTATTGCAGAAGGAATTCCGATGAGAAATCAGAGAAATTACCAAATTTCAAAAATGAAAACTATATGTGATTGTTTATAGTAGGTACTTACTTTTAAATCATAATGTACCAACCGGATTCCTTCGTCTCCCGCTGCATTTTTTGTGCATTGTACAACAGCACAATGTGATGGCATGCGCGAATTAAAGAATAGCCGAAAATACGAATCGTATGCCAAAATAATTGTGAAAAACTATTTCAATCACTTGTAAACAAATAAGAAAAGTGAGGTTGTGTTTCAATGTTTCACCTCCAGGGTCGGTCATCTGACAGTTTTTGCACGCAACCCATTCGAAATGAGGTTAGATATTAGACGAAAATGAGAGAATACCTGGCACTTTTCTGAGATGGCATGATATTAGCACAGCGATTTATTTTCTGCCATTATTCCAGACATACTTCAGTTTTTTTTATCTCTTCGAGCGCACGAAAGGAAATTCCTATAATGTTCGTGGAACATCGTGCGTATCTAGGGAGGATAGGGAGAGGAGGTAGGTGTTGGAACTCTGTTTGAACGTTTGGAAGTTATAAGTTCTTGGGAATACTTCCATTGACAAAAAATGCTAAAGCTCGCTCGTTCTACAGGGTGTATCTAAATAACACCGAAAAAACTCAAGGGGTGATTCCTTGTGATATTATTGGAAATAAAGTTCATATAAACATGTGTCCTAACTTGTTTCGTTTTCGAGATACAGGGTATCAATATTTCCATGAAAAATTGTCTTTACATTCATTTCTCAATTGCCTCTTCATCAATTTCAATAAAACGTTGTGGTTTTGTTAATAGTAATATGGAGCTTCTTCTAGTGCAATTAGATTCGAAATAATATTTCCAGCGGCGTCACAGTGGGTGAATTTAACGATATTCATGGTGAATGTCATTTGACGCCACTGGGTTTATTGAGTTTCATATTTTTATTAGATTGGACTATTGAAATAACAACTTTTTTATCCTTTTTGAGGAAAGAATAAGAATTCGATTTCTCCAAATTTCAATGTAGGTGTTTTCAAGACTTCCATTGAGATTACTCAATAACCCCAATTAGAATCATTTTGAAATTTTGAGGCTTTCTCAGTCTCCAACCATACTGAATTTTGGAACCATGAAAGCTTATACAGGAGGGTTATAAATAAAAACAATTGATACTTCCAACTTCAACATCCTGTATCTCAAAAAAGGAGCAAGTTAGGTCACATGTTTATGTGAATTTTATTTGCTAGAATATCACAAGCAAACACCCCTTGAATTGTTTCGGTGTTATTTAGATACACCCTGCATGCAATAATTATAACGGTTAGGTACTTTCACACAAGATACAGAATACATATAAGAGTATCTATGTACAAATTCAGACCGCAGCTTCGAAGTTGCTTGTGATTTAAGGCGACTCAGTGAAATATTGAAAATTCATCTGAAGTTTAGATGTGAATGCAGTGCTGCCATAATTAGTTCGGTGATTTTGCAATTCAAAAAACTGTCTATTTCTAATATTCCTAGGATTAGCATTGATGAACAATTTTTTCAGTATGTCAGAGCAATCAATGGAGTTATTTAAAATTTTGTGCAGAAACAAGATCAGAGCAAGTTTGCGTCTGTCATCGAGAGTTTGAATGTTCACTATTGTGAGCCTCCTAGTAGCATCGAATCATTTTGTAGATTATGAATTTTGCAAAGCAATTCTGGACTCTTTCAAGTTTTTACTTGTGAGGAAGTTTTTTTCCGCCTCTTATTGTTGAAGCTGTAAGTAGGAGTCACAATATGAGGATTTTTTGAATATGCGTTTTTTCTTTCTATAAACATCACATCTCTCTCAGCCAGTCATTCTTCCATCCATTCGATAAAATGTTCTTCACGACAATGATGTTTGTACTTACTGATAATGAAGTATCTTGGAGAACAGACAAAAAATATTTATGTCCATTATCACGAACCAGATCTGATTGGCACGTCTGAAAAAAATATTGGAAAATAGTGATGAATTATTCGGAAAATGAAATACCTAGTCGTTAAGTTTTTCATTTTATTTTTCTTGATATAAACAAGTGCATGTATGATCAATTATTGGAAATGAGAATATTCTTTTTAACAAGAACCGGGTCCCGTTCCGATCTAATATATCGGGTGTAACAGGATCACGGTACACCCCCTTTTTCTCCTTTAGTTTTAGAGGAGTGATTGAAATTCGGAATAACCCATCAACTTGATAAACGTCATGTTTTGACATAAACCTGTTTTATCTTCCACTTCCGGATTCACAGGAAGTGGTAATGAGTCTCGATTTTCGAATGGGACACCCTGTATATCATTGCATTTTCGAATTCTGTATCATTTTCTGAATACAATGATACCACATACAATACAATACAATAATTTATTCATCCCAAAAATGTCATAAAAGTTGATAAATAGGTATATATACATACAATTTATCATACATATGAAACGTTCACTTTTATACATAATATGTGTAAAAAATAACAGAAAACAACAAAGTGGGAACATTATAACACAAAGTCAAAAGCATTAAGAACATTTACACAATCATTTTGAAAAATATTTTAAAATTTTAAAATTTGAAGTTGAGGAATTCATCGATTGAAAAAAAAACTTACAGACGCTAATAATGTCTTGACTCTTCTCTTGAAAAGGTGGAGTGAAGTTATTGTTTTTATTTCGGTAGGCAGACAGTTGAAATATTTGATATCGGAAAATGTAGGTGATTTTTCGTATAAAGTTGTTCTGTGTTTTTTTTGTTCAAAGTAAGTCACCACTTCTTGTTGGATATCTGTGGGACTGGGAGTTTGATTGTTACTCATTTTCCAATTTTTTTTATGTATACAACACAGTGATAGATGTAAATACATGGTGTTGTAAGAATTTCGTACTCCTTGAATTTGGGTCTACATGAATCGGTTCGTTTTGAATTGAATATGAGTCGTATAACACGCTTTTGAGCTATGAATACTCTGTCAATGTGGTTGCTACTTCCCCATAGAATTATGTTGTAGGATATAACAGAATTTATCAGTGCATAGTACACGTCAAGAAGGGATTTTTTGTCAAGAATATTTTTCAATTGAAACATTGCATAGAAATTTGAGCTCAGTTTTTTACTGACTGAGCTTACATGCGTTTTCCAGCTGATATTGTTATCGACAAATGTTCCTAAACATTTGGTAGATTCAGAAGAAGTGATATGCGCATCGTTAACGAAATCTTCAAGTGTTGTCCCTATCTTTCTTCCATAAAACACAATAAGTACTGCCTTATCGGCATGAATCATTAACCTGTTATCATGACACCAAATGACAAACCTGTTGGCAGTTTATTATATTTTCAAGTTCTACGGTACTGTCTGCTGCCTCTGCGATTGATGTGTCATCGGCAAATAGTACTGAACATCCCGCATCTATGAATTTCGAAATAGCATTGATGAAAAGTGAAAAGATCAAGGGCCCCATAAGTGACACCCAACTGAGTGTGCCATGACTATTCTGATCCAGTCTGATATCGATAGGAAAATTTGTGTGGATATTTGGTAGCTCTGAGAATCGGTCGTGAGCTATTCTTTAAACTGAAAATTCAAGATGGAGGATCCAATATGACAAACGAGTTTTGTAATTGATTGATTGTTTTTGTTACCTCAAGAAACATATCTGTTTACAATAGGGATACATGAACACTTATAAAAATAAAAATAATAACAATAATAATATTGAAAGGTTAATCAAGATCCGATTCGTTTCAAAATTAGTATATGGGCGTTTTCGGAGTCAGAGAATATGATTCTTTGGTCAAAATTTAGAAATGCAAGATGGGGTATCCAATATGGCGAAAGAATTCTGTAATTATGATCCGATTCTATTTGAAATTGGTATCTGGGGGTTTAAGAGGTTGGAAATTATTATTCTTTCGTCAAAATTGGAAAATTCAAGATGGCGGATCCAATATGGTGGACGTTTCTTGTATTTAAGATTCGTATCTAGCAGTTTTTGGGGTCGGACATTATGATTCTATCATCATAATTGGGAAAGTCAAGATGTCGGAGAAGTTTTGTAATTATCATCCGATTCTATTCAAATTTTGTATCTGGCTGAAGGTTTGTTGGGGGTCAAAGATTATCAATTTTTCGTCAAAATTGGGAAATTCAAGATGGCGGATCCAATTTTGCGAACGACTTTGGTAAATTAGACCTAACAATAAGTGGTCGAAGGTAAAGTGTATAAAATTGTTCAATTCATTTTTTGCATTTACTTGAGAAATCAAAATCATAATGTGTTACATATTTCAATGAATTTTCTACAGGGCGCCTCCTAAGCTACTTTTGTGACCTAAATCTTAAATGCCTAAGATTTACCGGAATATACAGGGTGTCCCTACAAGGTCTGTACAGAATCTCAGCACATATTCTTGAGGTCAAAATGAGCCGATTTAAAGCAACTTACCTTCATCCGTAATTGCTCCATTTTCGAGATACAGGGTGGTAAAGTTGAGAAATAAAAATCGAATTTTTCAAAATGTATGAACATTTTGGAACGTAAGTATCACTTCAAAAATTGGTAGCCGGTAGTTTTTTGGGATTCAAAACCCGAATACGGATACGTTTTTACTGTGGCCATCGGAGGGCGCTTACCAATACAATTCTTATGGTTTAAAATGGCCATAACATTTTTCTCAGTATAGTTTTTCACTTTTTTTGTAGAGAAAATAATGTTCTAAATATTTGTAAGCAAGAAAGGTACACTTGAGAAAATTCAGTAAAGTAAGCATTTTCCCTGTTTGATGTCGCACCAGAATATTTAAATTATTTTGAGTAAAAAATCTTCGCTGTTATCTTCGTGAACGTAATTTGGTCAGTGAATGAGCAGTGCAAAAATGGGTGGCAATTTTCGACAAAGGTAAGTTCCTTTAAATCGGCTCATTTTGACCTCAGAACCATGTGCTAGGATCTCGTTAAGAATTCGCAGAAATATCAAGAAATGAAAATAATTCTAACCTAACTTTATAACGTCATCAAGGTTAAATACAACAAATACTGCGAATATTCAATAATCCTTTTTTTTATTTGTCAAGCAAAAAGAATACAATGATTCCACAGAGGCTTCTCTGCTTGGTAGGAATAATATAGTAATACAAATAAGAACAATTACACCATAAACACTAGAGTTACATTTATTGATTATTGATTTACATGTTTTCAAAGTAGTTGATTAGTTCATTTTAAACATCCCCATATTATCCGATTCTTCAGATGTGTATTATGTTCTGTTATCTGCAGTGAGTATTCAGTCCAGAAAATTCATATTTTGATTGAAAAAATTTTGAGAGTATTCATCAGATAGTGCTCTTTCAAAGAAAATGTATTTGTTTCTTCATAAAGTTGATTTGATGGGGTGCCATATGGAAGACGATACAGTACTTTCAATGATGTTTTATATAGTACAGGTATTTTAGTTTATTTTACCGAGGATGTGAGAGTATAGAACGGTATTTGCTATATTTGGGATAAGTTTTGGACATCTTCTTAGGGCACCAACTATGGGAGACATTTTTTCTTTGAGCATGCCAATATGCTTGTCCCATGTTAACTTTTTATCAATCCAAATACCAAGGTATTTAATTGATTGTCTTTATTACCCCAAGAAACATAGTTGTTTATAATAGGGATACATAAACAATATACATAATGTTATGCATACAATTATGAAATAATGATAAGATATAACAAGTAAAAAAAATGCAAATAATCATGCAATATCAACCTTGTCTTTCATAAGTAGGTATTCAAATAAGAAATGGAATTATCAAAGTCTCTGAAGCAGATATTTTTTCAAGTTAATTTTGAATCTAGTTGCTTCCTGTATATTCCTCAATTGACTTGGTAATGAGTTGTATACAGTGTGTCCCACTTACCATGCTCACCATGGGTATATTTTTAACGGTGAGAGATACGAAGTCGGTTAAATGACACCAAATGTGGAGTTTGTCAAGGCCAACTATAATGTGAAAAAATATTTTGATAAAATCTATTCATTTTTGTTTAATACGCAAAAATCATATTTTGATCATTTTCATGTCTCCTCCGTAACTTCTTCATTTATGAAAATATTCAAATAGGAATTTCACATTCCCATGGCAGTTTTTCAAAGTGATTTCGAAGAAAATATGAAATTTATACCAACTCTTCTAGAATTCGAGATATCAGCACCAACTTCAGTTTTTCGAATGTAGGTTATAGCTCACTATGACTTAGTTACAAATAACTTTTTTTTCTCTCACAGGTGATGTGTCGCAGTAATAGTTTTGTGTTGATAACAACGGAGTTATCGTCATTTATACAAAAACAAAAAATTATTCGGAAGCCGCCATCTTGAATTCATGAATTTTAACAAGAAAATCATGATCTCCGACCTTAAAAACCCCCACTTACCAATTTTGAATGGAATCGGACCAAATCTTGTCCGCCATCTTGAAGCAGCCATTTTTTTTAATTTCAACAAAAATTCCATAATGTATTGTCACCGAAATTATGAACACCTGCCAAATTTCAAGTGAATCGGCGTTATGGAATTTTTGTTGAAATAAAAAAACAGGCTGCTTCAAGATGGCGGACAAGATTTGGTCCGATTCCATTCAAAATTGGTGAGTGGGGGTTTTTGAAGTCGGAGATCAAGATTTTTTTGTTAAAATTCATAATTTCAAGATGGCGGGATCCAAATAATTTTTTGTTTTTGTATAAATGACGATAACTCCGTTGTTATCAACACAAAATTATTACTACATATACATCTGAAAGAAAAAAAAAAGTTATTTGTAAATAAGTCATAGTGAGCTATGACCTACATTTGAAAAACTGAAGTTGGTGCTGATATCTCGAATTCTAGAAGAGTTGGTATAAATTTCATATTTTTTTCGAAATCACTTTGAAAAACTGCCATGAGAATGTGAAATTCCTATTTGAATATTTTCATAAATAAAGAAGTTACGGAGGAGACATGAAAATGATCAAAATCTGTTTTCTGCGTATAAAACAAAAACGAATAGATTTTATCAAAATATTTCTTCACATTATAGTTGGCCTTGACAAACTCCACATTTGGTGTCATTCAACCGACCTCGTATCTCTCACCGTTAAAAAGATACCCATGGTGAGCATGGTAAGTGGGACACACTGTAGAACGATTCCTGTGTGAAAAATGGATTGTTTGCCGATATTTGACTTATACGTATTTGCTATTAGTAAATTTGATTGTCTTGTTCCATAATTATGTAATGAATTGATTGGTATATGTATAGGCAATTTGTTTCAATCTTTCATTTTTTATTCTGATACTCAGTGTACTCACATTATCGACAGCCAATATTTTCGCCCAGATGAACACGAGCAGCGGCCGCAACTCCTTCGCGTAACTCTGCAGCAACTTCAGCACGTAGGGAAAAATGCCGACGGACAGTGCCAGATTGACGGCCCACGGGCCCAAATCGAGGAACTTGCCCAGCAATTCGAGGGCCCTCATCCTGTGCACCTGGCTCAGTAAAACTTGCAACACGATCGGCAGCTGCTCAGGCGGATTGCGCTCTTCTGAGCCTACAAGAGAGCGAGAGAAACATCAAACAAGCTTTTATATATAAAGAAAACATTTTTAAAAATAAGCTTTCATAAATATGCACCAAACAGGAAATATTGTGAAAATTTCCGATAATGAACTCCGCCATCTTGATTCCTTCATTTTGATGCAGGAATCCTAATTTCCGACCCAGAAAACACCAATATACCAACTTTTTTTAATGTTCTGGTTCCCACGAAAAGGGATATCCTGTAATGTTCAGAGAACATCGTGAGAACCAAGGAAAATAAGGTAGGAATTGGTGTTCTTCTTAGATTTCTGGAGGTTATCTGCCTCGGGGAACACCTCCCTTGGCAATGTGTTCCAGAGCCTCGCTGTTCGTTGGATGAACGAGTCTTTGGAAAGAGATGTTCTGCAGGTCTCCAAAGTGACCACAAGGAGTGCGAAGCCTCAACTCGACCGGTTAATCTCGCGGGGACTGCCAAGGGAGGAACAATTGTTGATATTTCAGGAGAGCATCGTCTATGAAAATATCTATGAAATAAAGCCAGATCGCCAACTTTTCTACGGTGTTCCAGAGAAGTGAGTGAGTTTGTGAGCGAGGCATCACCCACGGGACGAATTGCCCATTTTTGGCCAAAATCCAACAGTTTCAGGGTATGTTTAGGTGCTGCACTCCAAATAATCAATCAATCAATCAATCAAAGTATGCTTTATTGTCCAAGAAGAAGAAATCTTATCGACAAAGCCACATGAGAAAAATACAGTTATGAAATCGAAATCAATAAAACAAAAAATGTATAAATAAAGTTGAAGTTGAACACGTCATTATTGAAATAAATATACAAAAAAAAAACATATATTTATATACACAAACACAAAATATATAAAACACAAAAGATGCAGATGAATGTCATAGTTGATCACAGTAAAATTCAGTTAAATTATAGTATGCCTTATCGAGAAGCAAATTTTTAACAGACTTCCTAAATCTTTTTTCGTTTTGCATCTTCTTTAGGAAATTTGGTAGATGATTGTAAATCTTCAAGCTTTCATAAATGAGCGAATTCTTTGTTAGCGTCGATTTTGGTATTGGAAGTTGAATATTATGACAGTTCCTGGTATTATAACAATTGGAGAACAAATGATTCTTGTGCCTCTTGTGCAACAAACTAACCGTTTCTAGAATAAAGAGACATGTAATTGTCAATATTCGTTGACTAATGAATAATGGTTTGCAGTGAGTGTCTAATCTAACTCCACAAATATATCTTACAGCCCTTTTTGGAGGACAAAGACAGAATTCATCATTTGTAAATTACAAAAACCCAAAATGCGATGCCATATCTCATATTCGACTCCATCAAAGCAAAATGTACCATTTGAGCTTCGATAAGGAAACAGTATTCCAGGACAGGTCGGATCTGTGCCATATAGATCCTAAACAGCTGACTGGAAGTGAAATAGCTCCAGGCCCAAAACGGAAAACCAAGTTTTTGGGATGCACTTTTAGCAATTGATCTCACGTGATTTTCCCAAGAATGGTTATTGCTGATAGTAATACCAAGAATCGAATGTCTTCAAAGGTATGGTTACTCCTGACAAGCTTATGTTGGGCACAGAGAGATCAGTCCTAGAGAAAAGACATGCTTGTGTTTTGTTTGCATTGAAATCTACCAAGTTATTGGATCCCCATTCGAGAATTGTTGCCAAGTCCATATTTATGTTGTCAACATTTCTCCCTCGTTCGTTTCTGATTTGCCTGGCTGGTATTGGAGCCCTGGAAGAGAAGGCGGTATGGAGGGTACTATCATCCGGGAAGCTGTGTACTGGACATGAAGTTGCTTCCAACGAATCGTTGATATGAAGTAGAAATAGTGTTGGTGCTAGAATTGATCCTTGCGGAACACCAGCATTTATGATAAGAGAGTCAGATGAAACTCCGTCGACCTCTACATGGAGGGACTTGTTTGAGAGAAAACTAGCTAGCAGAGAACATAGCTGGGGAGGCAAGCCATAAGATGGAAGCTTGGCGAGGAGTCCGTGGTGCCAGACTCGATCGAATGCCTTGGAGAACTATGAATAGAATCGGAAAATAATTACAAAACTCGTTCGCCATATTGGATCCATCATCTTGAATTTCCCAATTTTGACGAGATAATAATAATCTACGATCCCGAAAACCCCCAGATACGAATTTAGAATAGAATCGGATCATAATTACAAATATTATCGGCCAAATTTGGAGCAGCCATCTTGAATTTTTCATTTCGACAGAAGAATCATAATTGCCGACCCCAAAAACCCCCAGATACCAATTTTGGATAGCATCGGACCATAATCACCAAACTGATCAGTCATTCTGAGGTCGCCATCTCAAATTTCGTAATTTTGATGCAAGAATCATAATTTCCGACCAAGAAACCCCTTTGATACCAATTTTTAATAGAATCGAATCATAATTACATAACTCGTTCGCCATATAGAATTTCGCAATTTTGGCGAGATAGTCATAATCTCCGATCCCGAAAACCCCCAGATACAAATTTTGAATAGAATCGGATCATAATTACAAATATTATCGGTCGTATTGGAGCCGCCATTTCGAATTTTTCAATTTTGACAAAAGAATCATAATTGCCGACCCCAAAAACCTCCCAGATACCAATTTTGGATAGAATCGGACTATAATCACAAAACTGATCAGTCATTTTGAAGTCGCAATCTTGAATTTCTTAATTTTGATGCAGGAATCATAATGTCCGACCCAGCAAACTTCTTGATACCAATTTTTAATAGAATAGAATCATTATTACAAAGCTCGTTCGCCATATTGGATCCGCCATATTGAATTTACCAATTTTGACAAGATAATCATAATCTCCGATCCCGAAAACCCCCAGATACGAATTTTGAATAAAATCAGATCATAATTACAAATATTATCGGCCGTATTGGAGCCACCATATTGCATTTTTCAATTAAACTCGAGAAGGCCGAGGAGGAGAAAACTCGTTATTGACTACAAGTCTACTTTGTTTGTTTTTTGTAAATAAGGATTTTTCCGGTAAGTGGTAAGAAAAGAGGTAGAAATGAGTGACATTAATTCTTCAAGTTGTTCATCGATAAGTTTATGTAGGTACTGATTATTGTTAATGAAAATTGAAAAATGCCATACTTTCTTAAAACACTCGTATCTTCTCTCAAAAATAAGATATTGGCGTGAAACAAAGACTATTGTGTTAAGAAGGGATCACACTCCAATCCAAAGTATAATGCAGCCAAGTTCAATCACTCAATTCCGCCACAGGGCGTTAAGAAGTGAAGGGTAAAATAGTAACTTTAGTTTTTCCCTGTATAATGATAAAATCATCAGCTTTTCACGGAAACTAATATTCAGGCCAACATTACAGTACAAAAATCGATTATTTCGAATCCCAATAACTCGAAAACAGTTGCTCGCAGCAACCTCTACCAAGAATATATTTTTTATACAAAAAAGTTCTAGAAATCTATTTTTCTACTATGGAACGTTAAACAGGTAGGCACAAAAAAGTTATGACTTTTCAGAAGACTCAAAATACATGTAGGTGGCGCCACCCCCACGAAAGAGACAAACTAACATAAAATTTGATATTGTCATTGAAAAATACTCCTAGATACCAAATTTCATTTCAATATCACAATTATTTTGAAATTTATAAACAAAAAACAAAAATGAGAATTCAACTTTGACACATTGTATCTCATAAACGAATAACTTTCGGACATATATTTATACGAACTTTTCATCTTATTTTGACGTCAGCAACATGCTTTCTACAAGTACTTAAGAAACACCCTGTATATCAATGAACGGCGATGTCTATCCATTGTTTATTTAGTCTGACCTCCTTACCCAAATCCAGTCACAGTTGGAAAGCCGTCAACTGTTCCTCGAAAAAGTGCAAATGCCGAAAGGGCTCTTCGTTCTCGATGATACCAGGCAGCTGGCCCAAACTGAGGTCCAACGCCAAATCCCAAGCGTTCCACATGGGGTGTTGGTTATATTTTATTACCGCCAAATCCCAAAATTCGCTGAATTTCGTAATAAAAACTATATACAAGTGTCTGTTATTATCCCCACCATTCGCGATTTAATTCAGTTATCCATGTTTTACGTTTAGGATCGTTCACGTATATTTTTTAATGATTTATAAATGAATCCCAGTGTATATCCATTGTTTATTTAGTCTGACCTCCTTACCCAAATCCAGCCACACTTGGAAAGCCGTCAACTGTTCCTCGGAAAAGTGCAAATGCCGAAAGAGCTCTTCGTTCTCCATGATACCAGGCAGCTGGCCCAAACTGAGGTCCAACGCCAAATTCCAAGAGTTCCACATGGGGTGTTGGTTATATTTTATTACCGCCAAATACCAAAATTCGCTGAATTTCAAAAACTATATACAAGTGTCTGTTATTATCCCCACCATTCGCGATTTAATTCAGTTATCCATGTTTTACGTTTAGGATCGTTCACGTATATTTTTTAATGATTTATAAATGAATCGCGGTGTATATCCATTGTTTATTTAGTCTGACCTCCTTACCCAAATCCAGCCACACTTGGAAAGCCGTCAACTGCTCCTCGAAAAAGTGCAAATGCCGAAAGGGCTCATCGTTCTCGATGATACCAGGCAGCTGGCCCAAACTGAGGTCCAACGCCAAATCCCAAGCGTTCCACATAGGGTGTTGGTTATATTTTATTACCGCCAAATCCCAAAATTCGCTGAATTTTGTAATAGAAACTATATACAAGTGTCTGTTATTATCCCCACCATTCGCGATTCAATTCAGTTGAGCACTCACCCGCAAATGTACGAGTGTCTGTTATTATCCCCACCATTCGCGATTCCATTCATTCAACCGTGTTTGACGATTAGGATTGTTGGCGTATACTTTTCAATGATTCATGAATGAATCTCAGTGTCTATCTATTGTTATGAAGTCGGAGCATTCATCCGCAAATGTACAAGTTTCTTTTATTATCCTCACCATTCGCGATTTCATTAATTCTTCCGTGATTGGCATTTAGCATAGTCGGCGTATTCTTTTCAATGATTTATGAATGGATCACAGTGTCTATCTATTGTTATTCAATCTCACCAGCAAATGTACAAGGGTCTGTTATTATCCCCACCATTCGAGATGTCCTTGATTCATCCGTGTTCGACGTTGTGGATTGTCGGCGTATACTTTTTAATGATCCATCAATGTATCGCGGTGTGTATAAATTGTTATTCAGTCTGAGCACTCACCTGCTTTACAAGTGTCTGTTTTATTATCCCCACCATTCGCGATTTCTTTCATTCATCAGTGTTCGACGTTTAGGATTATTAGCGTATACTTTTCATTAATCCATTAACCCAAATCCAGCCACACTTGGAAAGCCGTCAACTGTTCCTCGAAAAAGTGAAAATGCTGAAAGGGCTCATTATTCTCAATACCAGGCAACTGGCCCAAACTGAGATGCCCGGCGTCCCACATGGAGAGTTGGTTATTATTTATTCCCGCCAAATTAAAAAAATTTGCTGAATTTTCTGATGAAAACTATATGACACAACGTAAAATGTCATGAGCATTTCGAATCTGTCCTATTGTTATTCAGTTTGAGTTCTCACCCGCGAATGTACAAGTGTCTTTTAGTATCCCCACCATTCAAGATTTCAATTATTCATCCTTGTTTGTAGATGAGGATTGTTGGTGTATGCATTTTCTCTAGAAAAGCCGAACTCACTGTGCCCAACATAAGCTTGTCAGGAGTAATCATACGATTTCGTTCATTCATCCATGACTGGTGTTCAGCATCGTTGGCATGTTATATTTTTTCGTGATTCACTGATTCAACTATCTATTCAAAGGAAGGAAGGAATGCTCGAAGTCATCTCCACAAATTTTAATGGTGTTGTTATATAATCATAAGGGACATGTTTCTTTGTAGTAGAATCTTGTTGAAGAAATGGACTAAGGTTGCTCGACTAGCAGTGGTTAATCTTTTGCTTGGAGCGCACGAAAGGGAATGGAGTGAAATTCTACTTTGAGTTCATTCAGTCTGACGTCCTTACCCAAATCCAGCCACACTTGGAAGGCCGTCAACTGCTCCTCGAAAAAGTGCAGATGCCGAAAGGGCTCATCGTTCTCGATGATACCAGGCAACTGGCCCAAACTGAGATTCCAGGCATCCCACATGGGGTGTTGGTTTTTATTTATTCCCGCCAAATTTCAAAATTTGCTGAGTTTTCTAATAAAAACTATCTGACACAAGGTAAATTGTCATGACCATTTCGAATCTGTTCTATTGTTATTCAGTTTGAGTTCTCACCCGCAAATATACATACAACTTTCTATTAGTATCCCCACCATTCGAGATTTCGTTCATTCGTCCATTTTTGTAGATTTGGTGTATACTTTCTTGTACAGGGTGGCCAACTAAGACTCCAGAGTTCGATTTCTCTGTTGTCTTGAGAGATACAAAAAAAATTCATGAATCAAAATTGAAGTAATAACCGAGCTTCACATTTCAAAATTACTTTGAAATACACAGGGTGTTTCGTAAGGTCACAGCACATCAGAGCTATGTTTTTTTCATCGGAACACCCTATATTTCATTTCATTTTTTAATTCTCCCTGAAGATCTGATTTCAACGACCCATCATACTTAGGGTCTAGCAGTAAAAGTTACTGACATATAGGGTGTGTAAAATCGAGATTTTCCAAGTTCATGATTTTTTTCTGTCGAAACTGTTCATTATTCGTCAAAACGGTTTACATGTCCCTATCTCAACTTTTCACTCAATATCAATTGGTGTTCAATTGAAATTGATACAAGGTGGTCAAAAAATCTTAATTTATAATTTGTTTCAATTAAATGTCAATTGAACACCAATTGATAGTGAGTGAAAAGTTGAGATAGGGACATGTGAACCGTTTTGACGAATAATGAACAGTTTCGACAGAAAAAAATCATGAACTTGGTAAATCTCGATTTTGCACACACTATATGTCAGTAACTTTCACTGCTAGACCCTAAGTATGATACGTCGTTAAAATCAGATCTTCATGGAGAATTCAAAAATGAAATAAAATATAGGGTGTTCCGAAGAAAAAAACATAGCTTTAATGTGCTGTGACCTTACGGAACACCCTGTGTATTTCAAAGAAATTTTGAAATGTGAAGCTCGGTTATCACCTCAATTTTGATACATGACTTTTTTTTTGTATCTCGCAAGACAACAGAGGTATCGAACTCTGAATTCTTAGTTGGCCACCCTGTACTTTTTGAATGAATCGCGGTGTCTATCTATTTTATTCAGTCTGCGCACTCACCCGCAAGAGTATAAATAAGTTCTAAAGAATATTGAAAAAAAAAATGTTTTGAAATTGCCAAAAGGGCTCATCATCGTTCTCGATGATACCAGGCAGCTGGCCCAAACTGAGATCCAACGCCAAATCCCAAGCCATCCAAATGGGGTGTTGGTTATATTCCCAAAATTCGCTGAATTTCGTAATAAAAACTATGTACAAGTGTCTGTTATTATCCCCACCATTCGCGATTTAATTCAGTTATCTATGTTTTACGTTTAGGATCGTTCACGTATATTTTTTAATGATTTATAAATGAATCGCGGTGTATATCCATTGTTTATTTAGTCTGACCTCCTTACCCAAATCCAGTCACAGTTGGAAAGCCGTCAACTGTTCCTCGAAAAAGTGCAAATGCCGAAAGGGCTCTTCGTTCTCGATGATACCAGGCAGCTGGCCCAAACTGAGGTCCAACGCCAAATCCCAAGCGTTCCAAATTGGGTGTTGGTTATATTTTATTACCGCCAAATCCCAAAATTCGCTGAATTTCGTAATAAAAACTATACACAAGTGTCTGTTATTATCCCCACCATTCGCGATTTAATTCAGTCATCCATGTTTTACGTTTAGGATCGTTCACGTATATTTTTTAATGATTTATAAATGAATCGCGGTGTATATCCATTGTTTATTTAGTCTGACCTCCTTACCCAAATCCAGCCACACTTGGAAAGCCGTCAACTGTTCCTCGAAAAAGTGCAGATGCCGAAAGGGCTCATCGTTCTCGATGATGCCAGGCAGCTGGCCCAAACTGAGGTCCAACGCCAAATCCCAAGCGTTCCACATAGGGTGTTGGTAGGTGGAGGGCAAGGCAGGACTGCTCACGGGCGTGCAATCGCAAGATCTCATTATCCGCTCGGCTAGAAGGAAGTTGCGGAAGAGGCTGGCTACCAGAAGGTCTTGCCGAAACAGCTTTTGGAACAGGTCTGGAAAATGATTATTCACATCTCAAGTGTAGAAATAGTACATTATACATCAAAGGACAGAAATGCAAGATTTTTTTCCAAAGTAGCTCGAGGGCGAAGCCCAAGCACCGACGAAAAAATAGCGTTCTGTCCTGAGGTGTATATACTATTTTTTTCTACAAGCGTGCGTGATTCACCCTATACCCGCACGCAATTTAGTTTAGTGCGGGAAAAACAACGATATGATAATATGGCAAAATATAAGTGGTGGGTGATGGAATATGAGAGTTTGAGTTTGTTTCTTGCAGTATTAAGTATGTATGTTCAGAATCATCCATCAAATGGCACTTATCCCTCTATAGATTTGGATTGATCTGATGGAAAACGATTATTGTTGTCATGCCAATCAAACCTCAAATGAGTTTGTTATTTTCGAAGTGACAGACACAGCGTTACTGTCATTTTCGATTCAGTGGAATTGCCACAATGTGAAAAACTTCCAGCTATAGGGATGCGATACAGATGCGTTATTGCCAACGAAGTCTTAAGAAAGGTATGAGAAGCTATACACGCGTTTTATTGAATGGTGCAACAATAAAGAAATGAAAATACCGAATAAAGAAGATGTTTTTTTGGTCTCATTTCCTAGAAGTGTCTGAAACCTAGAGACCAAACACCGTATGGGCCTGCTGGCTTCCGCAATGAACCTTTACATAATGCGTCAAACTGTGAATTTACAATAGCTATTACTGATAATCAGTAGATAGAGAATATATTTCTCTTGTTAGTTGTTCTAATATGAATGAATAATTAATTGAACAAATCAATCAATTTCCTACGCTTGTAGAAAAAATATTGTTCCTAACTCATTCGTAAAGTGTCTTTCCCGCACTCGACTGCTTGCCCGAACTCTACAATACAAGTTATACCTAGACACCCAATTCTCTAATCGCTGGATAGGTCGTGGCAGCCCTCATTATTGTCCTTCTAGGTCTCCTAACAGTATTAGACTATTATCTATGGAGATATATGAAACGATTGGTATATCAGACTGAAGTCAACACCAGAGAGGAACTGAGGGAGAGGATAGTTACAGATTCAGATATGATCAGAAATAATAGACAAATTATTCTAAAAACCACGAGAGATCTCCTGAAGAGATGCAGGAAATATGAAGAAATTGGAGAATCTTTGTTGAAGATTGTTGAGGCATAGAACAAGCTTTTTCGGAAATCGTAATTGTTTTGTAGTTTTGTCCAAAGATCAAGTCCGGTCCTGAATTTTTTATTGAAAAAATTTATTCTCAACTCTGCTGGTATATCAATATACAAAAAAATGATTTCAATACCTTAAGCCGAACTTAGAGAGTAATGTGCCAGGGCGAAATCGAAGAAATATTGATCAGTATTTTGTTTGAATTTTTTTAACCCAATCGGTCGAAGAGAAAGTCAAAATTATGACATTTATAAAGAAAATGAATTTCCCAAGTACGTCTCTGGAATTTTCTTTCCATAGTAGGCCATCTTATGAAGTGTTAGTAGAGGTATGTTGTTGGTAATTTTCAGACGATAATATCGAGACATTCGTGAAATATCGTTCATCAAAGATTCGCCCCGAATTCAAATATTCAAATAATGCCATGTATTTTTTTTTAATTAACTCGGCCGTTACTTGATGAAAATCCATGACAAATGTAAAAACTTCACAAACGATAAGATTTCCACAAAATTCTCAAACAGACGACATGTTTCTCTAACACAGTACCCAGCAAACATTGAACTAGCGGGAGAAGTCTGGCCTAGTGCAGGTTAGTCTGGGAAAGTGACGATGCCGGGGTAAAGGTAATGGGCCGATGATTTTCCCATGCCAAGTAACCATCAGTTAAAAATACGATGATGGCCTTGTGATGGTGAGATGTCTAGAACTAATTGAATACTAACGAGATCTGGCCCTTTGTTGGCCAATTTCATATTCACTACCCGTCCCCCTGGCGGATGTTTTGGGAACGTCTACATCAACAATCAGCTGATCAATATCATATGTGACTAAGATGGCTGACTCTCGTGAGTGGTGATCGCGTACTAGTTTGTTTATGTCGAATTAATGTGGTCCTCTCTTTCCGTGGTGGTTATTTATGATGGCAGGAGTATTCTCAATTGATACTAATAGAAGACAGATTCTTCAATTATGATAATATTGAGTAAGTATCATAGTGTTTTGAATGTCATTATTTGATGCATGTGTTTGGTATCTCGTAACCTCATATACCTAATGATTATGATAATTGGAGTTAACTATACTTCTCTAAAAGCAACCATCATTTTTAACTCGTTTGTTGCTATCAAAAGCAATCTCAGGTTATGTGAACCTATCTCTATATTGAATAACTGAATAACAATAAGATTTCAGCTACAGAATTACCTACCTGTGCCAACACCATAATGAGAATTGAAAAGCTCCATGTTATCACGCCATTTGACTATATTATCAAGTTATAAACTCATGCAACTCATAGGCCACTAATATAAAACAAATGATGCATTTTATATTTCAGAAGTACCTCACAACGAAGAATCAACTTCGAAGGAATGCTACCCAATAAGATGTAGATACCACACACCAACCAGTAAGCAGTCACTCCGAGAAGTTTCATCGTTGAAGAACAGAGAGGTTAAGAAGATATCATTGTGTCATTCATAAAATTGTTTTATTGAAATCTGGTATGTGTCTGATTTATGATGAGAGGGTTATGTTGTTAATTAAAGAGGTACAAGAACTTTCAGATCCATTGGACCCCTAAAACCCCTACCCCTCCCCTACCACGATAGTATGTAACCAATGTCGTTAATTGGCCATTACAGTCCCATCATTTATGTATATGCTGGGCTTGCTATGGGAAACTCAATGTGTCGATTATGTTGTACTGGCCTTTTGCCGGGGAACTGAATATGATTGCTGGGTACCCAGCACTGGGACCAGCTGCCGGCCGCAGTGTACTGATATATAGAGTCCCGCATATGGGACCATTTACTGGGCCGCTGATGTCAGGTATGGGAAAAATATACTAGGCCATTGATGCCCCATATCAAGATGTTTGCTGGGTAGCTTCGTCAGGTGATATACTTGTACGATGAACTAAACTAACCTTGGCTTGCTTTTATATCCTACTTTCCCAACCTGAAGGATTAGTTACCTGTGGACAGGTTCGATAAACCTCCATTTTCGGAAATTAGGCACAATATCTACATTAAAATACGGTGCACCGGATTAACTTGGAAGGGCTGACAGTGGTGAACTATTGAGGTCTTTGTGAAGAACATACAATATGAAATATACAGTGTGTCCAAGATAAGGTTGAACAGCATGGGGATCTCGAAAACGGTAAGAGATACGAAATCGGTTAAATGGGGAAAAAGTTGCGCATTCGGAGGCTCATATCAAGAGCCTTCGAAAATTTTGAAAATTATTTTTAGTTTTTGAGTTATATCGAAAAAAGTGAATTTTTGGAATTTCTATTTAATTTTTTTTCTCCGTTATTATTAGAGATACAGCAAAACTGAGAATACTTTTTCATAGCAACTCTTGATGACGGTCAATGTGGTGATACCGATTTTTTCATGCGACGTTTCATATTCGTGGAACCATCATCAACTTTTGTTTTTTAAATACGGTCTTGATAATTTTTGCACAGATTCCAAAAGGTTTTTTTATTCTGAATTCAACCATGTATTATACAAGGTGGTTCATTTGTGTTTCGACCTATTTTTGGCTATCATCAATGTTTTTTCGAAACTCCAAAGGAAAAATGCCATCAGTTCCACTTATTTTGAAGGAAAATTAGTCAACACACTAATACCTCATCAACTGGTTTCAATCAACAACCCATTTCATTTTGCGGAAACAAAAATTCCATCCATACAAATTCAGAATATGTCAAGCGCTAAAACCAGGCGATGACGAAAGGCGCAAGACATTCTGTGAGTGGTATACCAGGAAATGTTAAAATTTTGCAGATTTCCCTCGAACTATCATCTGGACTGATGAAAGCATGGTCACTAATCATGGTAGCTTCGATAGAAAAAATACACATTATTGTTCACGAGAAAATGAACATTTATACATTACAGCGAGACACCAACACCGTTTCGGCTTTAATATGTGGGTTGCAATATTTGGTACACGAATTATTGTTCCTTCTATTTACCATGAAACACAGACTTCCGAACGTTATAGAAATTCGCTTGAGAATCATCTTGAGGAAGCTCTGGATGATTTACCGATTGCGGAAGTTCAGAACTCTGTTGGTTTCAACAAGATGGCGCTCCGGTACATAATTCCAGAGAAGTCTGTGCGTGTTTATCCCTTGGCCGGCGCGGTCGCCTGATTTAACACAGCTGGATTTTTTCTTAGGGGATATATCGAACTTCGTACACGCAAATAACTTTGATGATGAAGAAGAACTAAGGGACAGTGTCTTCGAAGCATTCAATAGAATAACCCCAGAAATGCTTAGCAATGTCTTAGAAGCAACTGTGAGAAGAGGATATTTTTGTCCAGAAAATAATGGTTATCATTTTGAACATTTGTTATGAATGTCTCTGTAGGTATTGTCAAAGTTAAGTTGTTGAAGTAATTCGTGTAAGAATTCATCAACAATTTTAAAAGCTGCATTGATCGAGTGATGTAGTGAAATATTTTTTATTCACTTTTCAGTATTGAATAACTAATCCATCAAGTTTGACACTAAATGATCAGAAATAAGTGGAACTGATGGCTTTTTTCTTTTGGAAGTTCGAAAAAACATTGATGATGGATAGAAATAGGTCGAAACACATTCGAATCACCTTGTATAGTACATTGTTGAATTCAGAATAAAAAAACCTTCCAGAATCTGTGAAAAAATTATCAGGATCGTATTTAAGAAACAAAAGTTGATGATGGTTCCACGAATACGAAACGTCGCATAAAGAAATCGGTATCACCACGTTAAACCTCATCAAAAGTTGCAATGAAACAGTATTTTCAGTTTTTCTGTATCTCTGATAATAACGAAGAAAAAAAATGAAATAGAAATTCCAAAAATTTTTCGATATAACTCAAAAACTAAAAATAATTTTCAAAATTTTCGAAGGCTCTTGATATGAGCCTCCGAATGCGCAACTTTTTCCCCATTTAAGCGACTTCGTATCTCCTACCGTTTCCGAGATCCCCATGCTGTTCAACCTTATCTTGAACAGACTGTATATACATGTAATTGATATTTGATGACAAAATGTAGATTTTACTTATTTCAATAATTGAATAAATAGATAATTGAATAATTACTTGATCGTTGCATAAAAAACTATTATTGAATGCATCTTACCTCTCGGTAGAGTATTCCAGGCGATTGTGTCTGTTATTGCGGTGAAGATCCAATTAAGTTCTCCCATCATTGTCCGTCTGTCAGTAATTTGTCCAGGAATTCTGCGATATAAATAATGAAATTCATTATTTTTTCCGTAAACCGGGTACTTTGGCACTGGGGCTAACTTTAGCACATGAGTCATCTCGTCATCTGCTTTTTTAAAACATTTGTTTTTTCGCGGTTCATGTTTATGTTTTATGCAATAGCTTATTATTTCTGAATAAAGAGGTTTATTTTTGTACAAAAACGTAGTCTGAATAAAGCTAAATTATGATATTTTTGAAAAAAAAAATGTCATAATCCAATTTTAGATTTAAAACAGTGCCAAAGAAGACTTACAGAGCACTCTACTCTCGTATTTTAAGTAAAAACATTCTGCCAGGGTAACCCCACACGTTTGCCTACTTTGGCAGGCTCTAAACACTTTTTTCTCTGTTTCCTTTCAATATTTTTTATTCAAGTTTTCAGCATTTACAGCTTTATTGATGTTCGTTACAATGAGTTTTTTTTTTTGTTGAATAAAACCCTTTCAAGGCTGTTTTGTTTAGAAGTAGTTGGGTATACTTTTTCGACTTTTTTGACTTCTATGAGGTCAGTCAACAATTTTGAGCATGTCTATATGAGGAAAAAATTCTTGGGTGTAAGGGGGGTGGTGGTACATACAGTGTGTCCACCATAAGGACTTTACCACCCCTGTAAAATCGTTATTATCCGACCAATTTCAAAAAACCTTTTTTTGTTGGATAGGTATTTGAAATGCCCATCCAACAAGAGAGTGATCTAATTCTTGGACTGTTATCGTGGCCAACTGCGACAAATTTCAATGACCAATATTCCAGAAAGTACTATTAGGGATTTTTTTCCACAAAACTTGATGATGGATTCTGAATCAGTACCACTTGAAATATACCTGTACCGATTTTCATCATCATAAAACACAGGGTGTCCGAAAAAACGAATCATCATTTTCTTCAAATAGGTGATCAGCAAATGTAGCTCTGTGGTTTTTCTAGAAAGAAATAATCACAAATTATCATTGATGATTATTTCAAATATACCTGTACCAATTTTCGTCATTTGAATATACAATGTGTTTGAGAAAAAAATGAAAAAGGATAGGTAAGCAATATTTTTCATCCTGATAATTCTTCACTCAAAATAAAAAGATGAATCAGGATCACTTGGAACATACCTGTACCGATTTTCATCATTATCAAACACAAGGTGTTCGAAAAATCAAATTAATATTTTTTTGAGTTGATGAAAGAATATTGCCTACTTTTTCTTTTTAATTGTGTTCTCATACACATCGTATTTTGAATGATGAAAATCGGTACAGATATGTTCAAAGTGATCCTCAATAATAATGTGTCATCAATTCTTCTCAAAAATACCACAATACTATATTTTCTGATCACCTATTAAAAAAAAACATAATTCGTTTTTTCGGACACCCTGTGTTTTATGATGATAAAATCAGTAAAAGTGTTTTTCAAGTGATCGTGATTCAGAATCCATCATTGTTTTTTGTAAAAAAAAATCCCTAATAGTATTTTCTCAAATATGGGTAAATAAAGTTGGTCGCAGTTGGCCACGATTGTTTTTTGTAAAAAAAAATCCCTAATAGTATTTTCTCAAATATGGGTCAATAAAGTTGGTCGCAGTTGGCCACGATTACAGTTCATGAGTAAAATCGCTCTCTTGTTGGATGTACATTTCAAATACCTATCCAACAAAAAAAAGTTTTTCGAAATCGGTCAGATAATAACAATTCTACAACAGGGGTGGTAAGTCCTTAAGGTGGACACACTGTATGTAGCCCTTCAATATGGTACCTGAATGTACCATCAGTCTCATGTAAAGCAGAAGGATGAAATTAAAGAAGACACATTTTTAGTGATTTCATTGTAATCTAATGAAACATTTTCAATTATGATAAAGTGCGAAACAGTTTTTACATAATGGAACATCGCACTGCTCGCATATGGTTGTACTATACCTGTAAATGAATTGTTTATATTCATCAATTGGACTGTTGGAAGGGTCTTTCAACAAGGACCGGTCGATGTTGACAGTGTGTGACGGCCATGTTTTTTTGGGGGCATCTGTCAAATCTGTTGTATTTTATTCAGTCACTGATGCCAAATCACCATGGCAAGTCACTCGATCGAGCAGCATGTCCAAATGACTAAACTTTATTATGGTGGCCCTTCAAAGTCGACTCTCCAAAGTTTGGTAGCCAAATTCGAGACAACCGGTTCGGTAAACAAACAACCGACACCCTTACGTCAAAAGAACGCCAGATCGGCCGATAATATCGACGCTGTACAGGGTGGGCAAAATTGGGCGTTTTCGCCGTCTATCTCAATAACTAGAGGAGTTATCGAAAAACCGATATACATGTTCCGGGTTCGATTTTGGAGAAACCTCGAATGGCACAATCAAAATTTCGATATCTTCATTCGTTTTAGAGATACAGGAGGAAATTGAAAATTTGCCGATTTCGATTTTATTTTCTGACTACTTTCCGGTGAGAGGTATCAAAAAATTTCAAACGTATATTTATACAGTATGATCCATTGGCATCATCAGAAATTTTATACAGGGTGACGTTGAAAAGATACGGCAGCCAATTATGTTTTTTCTAATGGAACACCCCGTATATTTTGGCACAGTTGAATAGTCCCAGGCGTTCTCATTACAAATATACCGGGTGACCCGGAACCAATTTACCCCCCTGTATCTTCGTTGTTATTTTGTATGAGTGTTTCAAATTCGGTTCTTCGATTTGATGTTATGAATGTACAATTCAGCAAGTATCAATCCAAATATGTCACTTCCGGTTTGACCGGAAGCGCATCCAATTTTTATATTTCGAATAGGCAGTATTATTTTTTTTTGAAAATTACAATTCGATAAAGAATTACCTTTACAATGACATCATGTAAGCAACAATAATTCAATCTTTCACAGCATACTTTCATGAAATTGTTCCGTTACGAGGGGAACACAAAAAGTATTTTTTTTATAAAATGTCAATTATACCAGCAGATTGTGAATTGAAAGTATGATTGTGATATGTCATTGTAAAAGTAATTCTTTACCGAATTGTAATTTTTAAAAAAAAATAATACTTCCTATTCGAAATATAAAAATTGGATGCGCTTCCGGTCAAACCGGAAGTGACATATTTGGATTGATACTTGCTGAATTGTACATTCATAACATCAAATCGAAGAACCGAATTTGAAACATTCATACAAAATAACAACGAAGATACAGGGGGGTAAATTGGTTCCGGGCCACCCGGATATGTAACCCTACCTTTTCCTTTCACAATTTCAGATATATTCGCAACAATATATTCAGTGTGTCACATTTCTTATGGTTACACCCCCGTATCTTCTGTAAAAATAATTGAGGTAGGATTCAAAAATTCGCAACTGTCAGAAAGATACAAATGATACACTCATGGAGTCATGGACCAAGTGGGATCATCTCCAATGATAACACTGCTCGCCAGCAGCTATGGAATCATCGATATTTCTGGATAATGCTATCAACAGGCAGAATCGAGGTTGAGAATGACACTCTGTATATATTCACCAAAGGTGGAAAATGAATATGATAGGGAATGTTATTTCCAGACAAATGGATATTTGGTGAGAAATAAAATGGGAAATTATTCGATTTGATATCATTGTTATCAAGACATTTGAGATACAGAAATAAGACCAATAATTTACTCAATTAGGAAATCAGTAGGTTGCGTTGAAAAATATAGCCTTATAGAAGATTCCAGATACAGAAGATACGGGGGTGTAACCATAAGAAATGTGACACACTGAATATATTTTTGCGAATATATCTGAAATTGTGGAAGGAAAAGGTAGGGTTATATATATATTTGTAATGAGAACGCCTGGGACTATTCAACTGTGCCAAAATATACGGGGTGTTCCATTAGAAAAAACATAATTGGCTGCCGTATCTTTTCAACGTCACCCTGTATAAAATTTCTGATGATGCCAATGGATTCCACGCATCATACTGTATAAATATACGTTTGAAATTTTATGATACCTCTCACCGTAAAGTAGTCAGAAAATAAAATCGAAATCGGCAAATTTTCAATTTCCCCCTGTATCTCTAAAACGAATGAAGATATCTAAATTTTGATTGTGCCATTCGAGGTTTCTCCAAAATCGAACCCGGAACATGTATATCGGTTTTTCGATAAATCCTCTAGTTATTGAGATAGACGGTGAAAACGCCCAATTTTGCCCACCCTGTACGTCAGAGTGTGTAGGAGACTTCGAGGCAGTCGATTTCTCGCCGTGCACAAGAACTCGGCCTATCGCAGACTTCGACTTGGAGAATTTTGCGCCGGGACTTGGGCCTGCACCCGTACTCAGTCATATGTATGATTGCCTTCGGACATTTCCGTATAAAAAGAAAGACAATGCCAGAGGACGAACGGGGAAATATGGAGACTGTAAAGTACCATCCTTCCAGCGATGCTTCGTATAGTGCATGATTTCGAGTGACTTCGGGAATTGGAAGGATTCTGCCGCCTGGTGTGTGATGAGAACTCGACCTCCCTGCCGATTGATCAACGGATGCTCCGTTAGCTCAATTGGCAGAGCGTTGGTCATGTAAGACAGAGGTTGTGAGTTCGACTCTCACACGGGGCGGTGGAGTTTTTTCATTTTCCATTGTCACTCGAAATTAGGTCTTTCCATCTTCATCATTATATGTATCTTTTCGTTTGAGTAACCTAGGGTCCCTTGATGGAAATTGACGTTAAAGTCATCTTAACAGGGTACGGACAGATCCTCGTCTCCTCTCACTCTAAAGTGTTTGTGAAACAGTTATATAGTTCCATCCTTATTCAATTCTGGGGATAAACACTAGATTTTTGACATTCGTTGTTTTTTAGGTTATATTGAGGTCACTGGCGTATCATACGTAATTTCCATATGGAATTCCTGATTCAACTATACCAAGATATAGATGAACAATCCTCTAGTTTCAGATTTTACTACTCCAGCATAGTCTT